CAGTGATCCAGCAAGTCAACCCAGTTCAGCAGATTTTTGTGTAACATTAACCACGTGAGTGTTCCTGAATTGCTGCCTACAACCACTGCCTGCCTACACGCGTGTGCCCCTCAGCACACTGCGCAACATGCGCTTCGGTGAAAACACAAACGCAAATCCCATTAAAGCCGAGTGTGCTCTATAGATATCTGGATTGCCCTCAGAGACAGGCACACGCTCCCAAAGACATCAAGGCAGAAACTGAATTCCAGAGCTACCCGATTTGCTGAAACCGCGCTGTGAACTTGTTTTCTCTGCCAAGCAGCAGGGAGCTGCCTGTTATCACTGCTAAACTCCTTCCAGAATCTCATCAACTTCATTTCAAACTGGAACACATACTTTTATGCTCCATGGCAGCATGTGGTCCAGACCCACCCTAAGCTGACCCAAGAATGGCTGGAAGAAAGCTGACAGGCTTCTCTCTTACAATTCTGGTCCCTTGCCTGACATCACTTCCTCTGCTTTTGTATAGTCACCCTAAAAAACAGAGCATCGTAATACAGAGTTATCTTTAAGGGACCACATTTAGGAAGCTCACACAATCAATGGATAAAAATAGGTATTATTCAATAGGCCAGATTCTAAACTATATTAGGGGAGCTTAGGTTCTTCCACCTGGAGAGGAACATCTCCCACCCCCAAACCAAAACGTGCACTATGTGGTGTTTCTTCTGCTCCATCACCACGATTCTGTATCTTCCCAGCTGAATCAGGTCAAGAGAAGGATGGGCTTAACAAAGCCACGCTGGCAAGACAGAAATTATGTGCACACAATACTCCAAGCTTATTCTTTCCCACAAGGGCTGCTGTAATAAACTCAACCCATTTGCAACCAAAATATAAAAAAAGAGTAGTATCACACACTGAAAAACAGAGGCATGGATTTTAATCCATCTATATCTAACAAATGCATCCATTTCATTTTGCTACAGAACACAACATTTCTGCTTTAACTCTACACAAGGCCTTCAGCAGCCTCCTCCTTCTAAAGCCTGTAAATTTTCTAGATATTCGGTGACAGCCTCTATCTCTGCAAACTCCAGTAGTCTGTTGATTAGCTTATCCAGAGCTTCTTTCCCACTTAGAATTTCCTATAAAAAAAAAAAAACCAACAACATACAAAAGCATTACTGATTGCTCATCAGTATTATTCTGAAACGCTGACTACTCAAACAAGGAGCTCCTGGAATGGACTGTGCCGGGAGTCTTATCCAAGCGCACCCACTCGCTCATCTCTGCTGTTCCCTGCGTGAAAGCAACACGGCATGGTGAGCAGCCCCAGGACTTCTGCTGGCTGCCTGTGAAAAGCACATTGATTCCGGCAGCAACAAAAGGAGCTATCAGTGCCTTCCTGCCATGCTTTCATGTAAACCGTGGGTTTACATGAAAATCCCCCAGCAAGAACAATCAAGGATCGAAGAACCTAATTCAAATACCATTGTGCGTGCCAAGGACTAGTTTGTTTTGCAAGCAAAGCTTAACTAACTTTTGTTAGGCAGTTGACAGTTTCATTTTCACTCCAGAAAAGTAACAAGTTCCCAACACTAAGTAACTGAAAAGCTCGACTAACAAAAGTAATTTTTATGCAGTCATGGAACTTCTTCCCATTCTCCTCCACCATGGTATTCATGTACCTAATTCCCCGCCACATTAAATATGAACCATTCCACATTCTGTGTTATCTGAAGTTACCCAGGACATCTGTGGGCACAGTTCAAAAATGCAACAGCACTCACAGTAAACTGGACACCTAAGCCAAAATATTGAAGGGTCACCCTAAACCTTGTCCTAAAACTCAGAATATTTGCATAAATTTCATACAGAAAAATGCATTACTAGGTATTTGTTTCCCTGTAAAAAAAAAACAAACCAAAAACAACATCCAAGGCATATGTAGAGATGTACTCAGAAATAAGACACCAGGTAATCTCAAAGTGAAAGCATTTGTTTCAGGATTTTTTAACTGTGGCTTGCGAGGCAACCATAAAGAAAAGTTTTTCTCCTTCTTCACTCCGTCATCAGAAGGAGGACAGATTGGCTTAATAAAAAAAAAAAACAAACAAACCTTCATGTCAGGTTTTTCTTTTGGATGTACTAAGCTTCAAGAACCTCAAATGTCACTTGCCCAGTTTTGCCAAGGGACTCGGGGATTTCACAGAGGACTACATGCTACATCATTTTTCACTTATATGGTAGGAGCAAAATCGACAGAGAAGTAGGCCAGAGAGTTATACCCTGTGCCAGTCATCTTTAACACTACCCTACAACAAGGCAGGAAAGTTTAAGCTTTCTAAATCTACAATATTCTGTCAGAGCACAACTGACTATCTGTTTTCCTCATATATAGTCAATTGTTTTCACAAGGTTTAACTTTTCCTCATATGGTACATATTAGCATCTAAGTTTTAAAACTCTCATTAGAAACTGTTACCTTGATATTGCGTGCATCGTACGAGATCCTGTGGTCAGTGACTCTGTCCTGGGTGAAGTTATAAGTACGAATTCTCTCTGACTGGGCTCTTGTTCCCAACTGTAGTGAAACAGCAAAAACCAAATTTTACTATATTGTGTTTAAAATAAATAAATCAACTATTACTCTAAAACAGAACAAATTTTAATGGATCAGCCTGTTTCACCTACAGACCTAGTGGTCACTGACAGCATTTTTTTTTTAATATTGTGGCATTACTCAACTGTATTATTTGTGATTTTGCAGACCAATTTTTTACACCCTCCAGTACACTTCTGTTCCAGCTCTGTAGCTGGAAGAACTACATAACTCTCAAAAATCATGTAAGGCAAGAGATATGTCTATACGTGTCCTTAGTTCAAAAATGTGTGTTTTTCTTTTTTTTGAGGGGTTGTAGCTCCCACAAAAGATCATGAGAGCAGCCACCATTAACAAAAGAAGCAGCACAGTCAACATGTGGCAAAGCAGTTCCACTAACGTTTGGCTGTCAGAAATTAGCACTGAAAGAGGATTAAATTGAGACTATGAAGAGTAGTCCTCTAGTGGTAAAGCACAAGACTGCAAGTAATTCTAAAAGTTTTAAAACAGAAATCCAAATGCAGCATTGTTGTGTGGTTAAATGCTTTATTAAAATGAAGAATTAAATGCTAAAAACCGCTTAGGGAAATGGGTGTCTGCTTCAATGGGCTTTTTTTAAAATTTCATTTGCACCCACATGTATATTTCCAAACAAGCAATTTATTGAATGTATTCTGAAACATCAAGAAAGGTAATTTACTTTTGCCAGGGTTTCTGTAATATTCATATAAATGTACATCTAGGTCCCTTATGCAGCTTTGAAGACTCTCAGGCTGAAATTAGTAATAAAAGATAAATGGCGCACTGCTTACGATGACCAGGTCAACAATCTGCAGGAACAATACATTTAAATGCAACCTGAAATTAGTGATTAAACAGCTACGAAGGAAACTCTCAAGTACTGAATAATTTGTAATTCTGAAGTATTTTTATTCCTGTTGATAACTGTTGAAGTTTGTACCCCAAATGTGAAAATACTCAAAGAACGGGAAAAGAGTGATAGCACATTTCAAGAGAAAAGCACACTCTGCAGCATAACTTGAGCTAACTCACTTAGGGAAGTTGCTTCTTCCATAAAAGGTTACCGAAACCATAGCAAATAAACTTACCCAACTGTAAAATTGCAGGATTGTTTATATACTTGTTTCTTTCAAAACCTCTGTATGATCTTATCAAATACTTCGCTTTAGATACAGGTTAAAGTACAATTCTGAGAATTTCTGATCCCAGTTTTCACAGAATCATAAAATGGCTTTGGTTGGAAGGGACCTTAAAGATCATCGAGTTCCAACCCCCCTGCCATAGGCAGGGACACCTTCCACTAGACCAGGTTGCTCAAAGCCCCATCCAACCTGGCCTTGAACACTTCCAGGGATGGGGTGTCCACAACTTCCCTGGGCAACCTGTTCCATTATTTCACCACCCTCATAGTGAAAAACTTCCTCCTAATATCTATTCTAAATCTACTCTCTTCCGGTTTGAAGCCATTCCCCCTCATCCGTTTTCATGGAGATCAACGCATCAATACATGATGTTGAGTGTTGCCTTTTGGATAATTCCAGCTACAGTCTTTGGACTCTCTTCTTTCCAGCTACAGCTGATGTTTCTTTTTCATTGTCTGAAAAGTCCACACCAGCATTGAACTGGGATAACTAAAAAACAGACTTACCATTTTAAAGCAGAGTTACCATCTTAATATAACAGATTCTCCTCTGTAAGCACACCTGGATAGACACACACGCTCACTTGCTCTGTCGCTGTCACTCAAAAAGACCAGAAACAAATCTACAACATAGCACCCTCTCCAAATTTCAGCAACCACATGTTCTCACCTGCAGTTTTCTGGCACTCTGCTCTTGACTTAGTTGTTTTTCAATGACCTGCTGGTACAGCTTTGCTCTCAGTGTCCGCAGAGCTATTTCCTTGTTCAAAAGCTGTGATCGCTCCTGCTGGCACTCAACTGCTAGTCCTTTACACAGGGATTCAAGAGAGCTCAGATCAAAAGGCCATTATAACAAAGAACAAACAAGCTAAATTAATTCTAACACATTAGGCAAATGAAGCCTTCCAGAGTGCTGGTTTGCAGGGTCTTTCAGCTGTAGGATAAAAAGTCATTTTAACAGACCGGCCAGAACCACTAGGATGTTTTTAAACTCTTCACAGCTGCACCAGGGGCTTTGTTCAGCGCTACAGAAAAGTCAGGGATATTTTAAAATTTCATGAAGCTAACAAGTTTCTGACATTGCCTCCAGAAAACAAGTTCACTCCAATTAGCTGTAACATGTTAAAAATGTAATTTTCACAGTCACAGAACCATGTTTAAAACAATGCAACACAAGTTTTTCAAGTCTTAGTCCAGACTTGGACTCTCTTGGAGACTAGAAAGTGAGCAGGGTGTCTAAAAAACACTGGAGGGTCTTGAACTTAATTATGAATAATGAAATAAAGTAAAATAAAGGTCTTTAAAAGAAATTTAGTATTTATTTTTACTTCTCATTTGATTTCTAAAATAAAAAGGCATATAGGAAACAGCTGTTTTCAGGTCACTACTGGAATTTCCTGTGCCTAAAGAGATTCTGCATCTGGACAGATGGCAGCTCGCTGAATTTCAATACAAACAAATCCTGACAAGGACAGAATGGTCCAGTATATACACTACATTCCCATTAGTTTACATTTTCCTTCCTATTCAACTTATGCTAGCATTATCTAGTACCAAGTGAAAATCTCATGTCTCCTTTTTTCTTGGTCTTGTAACTACACAGGTTGCAGGTAGGCAAAGTGCAACCTTGATTGCCAATGGCCATCACTCCTGAAGGCAGAGAACACACAGCGTGAATTATTTACATCTTCCATCCCATCACTGTCACCCTCCATTTGTTCTTTCATCCTTCAAAGGCAGTCTAGTCATTAAACACTCCCTCTGAAGACAAAACTGGCATAATAGCAACATGTTGACCATTATGCAACGGGGACATACCCCTTTTCTCACACATTGCCTTGCAGAGAGGCAGAACAAGAAGGGGTTACTTCCTTTTTTTGGTATAAGGTCCAACTCTGCAATCTCCCTCTAAGAGACAACTTGCAGGATCACAAGCTTTCTCTTCAGAATACTGATTTAGGGTCATTAGAATGAATACAGATTTAGGGTCATTAGAATTACGAAATACAGCCAGACTTACCTGTGGGAAGGTGTACAATTCTCACAGCACTATCGGTTTTGTTAACATGTTGCCCTCCTGCTCCTTTGGCCCTGAATGTATCTATACGCAAATCTTTGGGATCCACTTTAACATCAACCTAGAATAAAAGAAAATTACCACCTTCTGCTCATTCTAAAAATCTTTTTAATGTCTTTTCAATTATATTTGATGAAAAAAAAAAAATCACTTCTCAAAAAAATGCTCTTTTACAACCGTACCTGAGTAACAGCTATAATTATTATGCTTTTGAAAAATGCAATGTCAAATATCTCTGCAAAGCAAGTGATGCTTTAAATATTTCACTTATTCTCAAAAAAATGCTCTTTTACAACCATACCTGAGTAACAGCTATAATTATTATGCTTTTAAAAAATGCAATGTCAAGTATCTCTGCAAAGCAAGTGATGCTTTAAATATTTCACTTATTTTTCAAACTCTCACTCCAGGTCCTTCACAAAACAAGGTGTGTGTGTGAAACAAAAGAAAATCAAGAACTTTTTGTAAAACCACTAGCTTTGGCAGGGAGACTAAGAAATAAGCGAATAATCAAAAACTACTTATAAACAGCAGTGTAAAGATCTTGTTCATGAGCCAAAGCGGAATGATTCAGTGCTCAAAAACATCTAACTGAGGAAAAACTGCATGTATCCAGATCCAAGTAAGGATTGCAGCATTGAAAATATGAGTCCATGATGACCCGGACCACAGTTTGAGCTCAGTGGATGGGAAAGGAACGTTCAGATCTGATCAATGTTGCAAGGAAAGCATTACAAGGAAGCAGGAGAACGTGCAGGGAAAACCTACAGGATCCGGGTTTGTTTATTTTGTGTGTAAATTGCTGGTTTAAGAGAGAACTGCTGGTATCACCAAGATCTCAGAAAGACTAGCCAACACACTCACTCATTCAAATTCAAAGCAGACCGTCCTTGATTTAACAGAGAAGGACACCAATAATTTAAATGAAACAAAAAAAAAAAATCAAAAGGACCTGCAGAATCACACTACACAAGACTGAATATTTTCTTGGATATATTCCCTATCTTATTACATGACGTAATTTAAAATTGGCTTACTCATAGCAGTCAGCTTTGTGAGTGTTGGGTCTGGAATACTCATTGAAATGATCATTGATTTACATGTAATTTCAGGCAATAGGAAATCTCTGCAAAGTTGCTTCTGATGATCCATTTAAACACACAAGGTACAGAGCCAAGGACTATCGCCTTCCAGAGTCAGAGAACTTGTGGTTCATTTGCTGAGACTTGCACAAAGCACTTGGGTATCGATAAAATCCCCAAACAGTAGCAGTAACATCATTTTAAATAACACCTGCTCCAATGCCTAAATGGGTGAGTAGAGAAACACCACCTTGTCTCCTTGATTAACAGTTAATTTACCTCCTCTGGTTGAGGGAGGACAATAACTGACATTGTCCCAGTGTGAATACGCTGCATTCTTGACGATAGGCCCGTCTCAGGGATTCGCTGGACTCGATGAGTCCCTCCTTCATATTTTAGGTGCCTGTAGACATCATCTCCTGAAATATGAGCAGCGGCATGATGCAACCCACCTAGAGAGACAAATAATGTGTGACAAATATAGCACAGAAACACAGCCTTTCATTTCATTGTCTTGGTGGAATGTCTGAAGAACTACTGTACCTATCTCAGCTGGCGTATAGTTCACAATGTCAAAGGTCCAACATTTATAGTCTGCATAGTTCTGGTACATCTCAAACATTTCTTTAGTGAACTGTTGGCAGATGTCTCCTAAAAATATAAAGGCACTACAACATAAATAGCAGCTCACAAAATGGCAGCCACCAGTTTTTAGATTTATCTGGAGCTCTAACCACCATCATTAGACAGATTGCTAGTCTTCTTTATAAAGTATTACTTTATACCATTAAAGTATAAAAAGGCATTAAAAATAACCCATAAGAGGTTTAATAATGTTGGAAAGAGGTTTGAAGTAATCTTTACTGCAGGAAGTTTGCTGACCTCCAGTCGTTCTGCCAGCTGTCACTTCTAATATGACATGACTTCTATCATATTTTTCCTTTGGCACTAGAAGCTGGAAAAGCTGAAAAGGAAAAAAAAAACAAACCAAAACAACAGAATGTCATGATCTCCTTTACGACTCTGTATCTCCTCTTAATCAAATTTACAGCCAGCCTTCACGAGTGCCACAGCTTGACCACGCACAACCACTCATTTCCTTTGGCAAACCAGTAAGTAGGACTAAAAACTAGTCCTACTAGTTGCAACTAGTTGCAATAGCTGTTGCAACTTAGTGCAGTCAGAGTAGAAATGGGATATACTGGTGCATCTGCAGTAAAGCTAGCTGAAAATTTGATTCCACAAAGTCAGGTGCCAGGTCACCCACTCCAGCCCCAACTACCTACGAACACAAAGTTATTAACTATAACCCAGCCAATCTTCACATTAATCTTATTTTTCAGAAAGTCCCGTTTCGTATTATCTCAATCTGAACACAGAAATGAACCCTGTCATAGAGCTCTCTACCGAATCCTTTCAGCTTCTCTGCTTATAATTAATTTCTCCACTCGCGGGGTGCTGTCAGCTGAAGAGAAAATGAAAGACTGCAAGTTCCAATCAGAAATCTTTCAAGAAAGCATGCTCTGCTGCCACAAACAGTTACTAGGATGTCATGTCAGGTCTCAATAGCACAGACTCACCATTTATTTAATCCCCTTCAGCATCTGCAGACAGACAAGCAAGCAAGCAAAAATGACTAAAATAATAAGCTTCTAAGACACAATTGTCAGTAAGAAGCTTACTAATAATTAATGTTGTCACTTCTTCTCAGGGAGAATAGAGAAGCTGGACTTCTGTTTCATTAAATGCAAGTGTCAGAATCTATTGGCAAGATCACAAAGAAACATTTTTCTGACAACTTTATTTACAAAGCCATATAATTTTACCTCAGGCTCACCTTTCTGCACAGCATGTTGATTTTTTTATCCAGGGTTTCCTTCTCTTCTAAGGCAAGCTCTAGAAGTTGTTTCTCATCTCTGCTGTCTAGCTCTAAATCCAACAAGAGGAATAGATGTTAGCCAATGTCACCTAGCTTAGAGCAAATTGTAATACAACTGACCAAAGACATGCACTGCAGCACATAAAAGCTTGCAGTTGCATTTTGCCAGCATGAAATATCAACTAAGAGCAGCTCAAGTCAGGAAGCATACTGCTAACTAAATGATCAGATTTTTCAGGTGTGCTGGAAGGAGTAGCAGGTATCTTACTTCTCAATCTCTGCCTTATGGCTCAAAGTCTGCATTAAATAGATGCCAGTCCCACCTGACAGTTACTCACTCTCAGTTATACTGATGGGTATGTCACACAGACTGACAGTCCAGGGGTAAATCCATAAACAGATTTGGCAAAATATATCAAAAACATGCCTGCAGACAAGCAGTGCCTCAGTTTCCCTTATCACAATTTTTCATGCAACACATTTTTTTGTTTCTAGACTTGCCCAGAAACACTCATATATTCCACAATTTGTAGGCAACTCATTAAGGTGAGCACTACAAATAATGGTATGATGATAATAATGACGTTTCCAACCTTCTGTCTCCTGCTATTCAAGAGCTCACTGAGATGCAGGAGACCTCACTGTGACTCTCTGCTTTGCTTAAGGAGATTCCCTTCCTCTCTCTTCAGCACGTGAGACCACAATCTGGAGTACCGTGCCCAGTTTTGAGCTCTCCAGTACAAGAAGGACAGGGAAATACTGGAGTAAGTCAAGTTGAGAACCACCAAGATGATCAAAGTCCGGAGCAAAGCATGTATGAGAAGAGGCAGAGAAAACTGTGTTTGTTCAGCCTTAAGAAAACCAGGGGGAGGAGAGGTTTTATTGTTGTGTACAACTACCTAACAGAAAGACATCGAAAAGATGGAGACAGACTCCATATGTCATGATAAAAGGAGACATAAGCTGGAATACGTGAAATTCTGATTAGATATTGGGAAAACTGTTTTCACCTTAAGGGCAGTCAGACACTAGAACAGGGGCTCTGAGAGGTTGTAGGATCTCTATCCCTGGATATATTCCAAACTCAATTGGACAAGGCCCTGGCCAACCTGCTCTAACTGTTCCTGCTTTGAGTCGGACATCAGACCAAATGACCTTCAGAGGACCCCTTTAAACTAAATTATTTGATGATTCTGTGATTAGATTGCCCCTGCCCACATTTTAGAGCTTATCACCAAGCTAGGAAATATTCTCAGGTAAAGCTAGCAGAAGCTCACAACCTTTTCTGCTATGGAGGTTCCAGTTTACAATAATTAAAAAAAAACCTGCCGTTGCCGAAATAGGGAGCACCCTCTCCTTTTCATCTTTCTTCCCACTGTTCTGTGGAGTGGCTCTGTCACTCATCTCATCAGAACGTAAACCAATTCAACTCACCAAACGAAAAAAAACAGGTCTGGTTAAATAAATGCATGTATTTTACCATGCCAAGTTGAACTAGATTTAATTTACAACTGAACAACCCGCACAAATTAACGGCTGGGAGTGACAGCGAGAGAAGAAAGTAACAAAGAGGAGGAGAAAGCCCTATGCCTTTTGGCCAGCATGGAAACCATAGGTTTGCCTCAGATGCAGCATAAAACCAGGCACTCAACAGCTGAATGCATCTCCTCGCATGCATTACAGGACTCGGATATCTCAAAGGTGGGCACAAGGACCCTCAACAGCTGAATGCATCTCCTCGCATTGCATGACTAGTTGCCTGAGCTCTGGATTCTGCAACAGGACTCGGGTATCTCAAAGGTGGGCACAAGGACTGCAGGCTCCACATCTCTGGGCTTCTGGAGCCTGGTTCCTGTTCACAGCAGCTAACACACACACACACACACACACACAATTTACTGGTGGCCTCAGGAGTGAGTCTTAACAACTAAATGGGCTGGGATGTTGAACCAGCTTTGTATACTGCAGCAACAGCTCCTCTGTATCACAGTTTTTAATTTATGCTCTCGGGTTTTTTTCCTTAAATAAAAGATGTCAGATCAACGCTTGAACCCAGCATCCCCTGCACATAAGGCAAGAACTGCATAAATTTCCTTACCAGTATGTCACAACTCCAACCCAAAGCTTGTACTGAATCAACGGCTTCAAGCTGGTCCAAAAGGCATCATTATTGATTAGTTAGATAAAAGTATCAAATTAACTACTGTCAGCAGAGATGAAAGAATGGCTGGTGGTGACCAACAAGCTTGAGGTTCAAAGGACTGGAGTCCCATTCCTACCTCCCTGCAAACCTGACCTTTAAGAATTCACTTAATCTGCCCCGTGATTCACATCACAAGTGGCAAACCAGGAAATAATATTTTTCTGCTTCACTGAGTGTTGCAAATATATAATCTTAATAGCAATTGTGAGGAATTCGGGTACTGCAGAGAAAAGGGTCGGTTAGGGAGCTAAACGGAACACAAAGAGCAGTCATATGAAGAGAAGATCTGTGTTTTAAATTGGCCACACAATAAAGAGTACAGAGAGAATAATTTGGCTCCATTTAATTAACTGCTTGGCTGTAATTTTTTTTTCATTTTTTTCTTTTCCCTTCTTTCAACTAGAATTCACTCCATTCATCCACATCATAACTTATGGAATTAGAAAAAAAACTTCATTATATTTACTTGATCCAAAAAACAAGCCTTTTTAAGTTGAAGTATGAATTCTCCAGTGTTTTCTAAATACTTTTCTAATTCTTTCAAGAACATTTCTTTTTCAGTGTTAAATTTTTTTCCCTCCTCACCTTCACTCCTTTTCCTCTTTCTCCAGACCAGAGAACTTGAGAGGGTTGGGGATTAAAACATTTTCAATAACTACTGTCTTTTTCCAAAAGCACAAACATCTATTTATTTCTAAAACTAAAGAATACAAATGTTTTCTGCCTTTCTAAACATTTTACCAGCTTTATTTCAATATGGCTTTTATTGTTTTGTCAACAACCCTTGGTTCACTCTGAAAAGCACCATGAACTTTCACCCTCCTCCATTTACACCACTGTCTACCCAATTCTCCCATCCTTTGCTCCTCCCTTGCTTCAGTTCTTCAATGTAAACCCCATTCTCTTCAGGCCAGTGTTTCCCTCTCTTGGCTTAATACCTCCTCTCATAGCTTAATACCATGTAGCAGAATGGATGACATTTTTTCCTTCCTATTGTGTGCAGCTCCTCTCACTTCTACCAATGTTTTTTTGTCAAAATGTTGCACCTTTACATATTTTGTAAATTCTTTTACTCCCTGTGTACTTTCTTATTCCTGAACAGTATCAAAACCAACAATTTTAAATTCTTTTTTTACCCCAACTTCTACCGTAGCAGAGTATTGAAAAGCAGCAGCTTCTTAGGCAACCATCAATTTTTATTTCTTGAAGGACTCCTCAAATACTTTCGAAGAAATATTAGCTTTTGCCATTTAAATTGGAAGCTGACAGTGCAGGGCCTAATGAAAGTTCATGTAATTTGCTCAATGAGAATCAATGAACTGGCTAGATGGAATCCCATTTTAAATAACACGGGTGAAGTCTGCATCTATCAAATGCATTCAGGCTCACTAAATTTTTTTCCTTCAGTTCACACTGCTCTCGGTTCTATCAAAAAACAACCTCAAAACAAACATTTCCAAACTATTTCTACTAGACAGATAGCCCCGAAATTCCAGACGATCCCTATTCTCCCAATTTGACTGTATTAAGACCTCAGACTTAAGCAAGGCAAGATGAAAAATGGAAGGATGTGGTTGGATGCAGAAAGCCCTAGCAGCACACAAGCTCTCAAAGCAGGCAGGACCAGAGTGTTCCAGGGGTAGCTTAACTTATTTAAAAGCTTTCTTTGTAGGCTGGGCAATGAAGTTTATCACAAGCAAAGCTGCTGTTTTGAAACAAATAAGTAGATGTGTCCTCCTTACCTCTGCACATAGCTTCTAACTCCTGAACTTCCCTTTCAGCCTCTTTGATTTCTTGAAATGCAGCTGCAATGGGGGACAGATCGGCACATCTTCTCTTCAGGGTTCTTTGCTCAAAGTCATTTATTGAGTCAGCATTTAACAGACGACTAACCTGCTGGTATTCCTTGCTTAGAGTCTCCAGATACTTCTGCACAGCCTCATGTTTCCACAATCCTCGAGAATCCTGATGTTTTTTCCTATGCCGACTGTTAAAAGGCAGAGTGAATCTAGCCGTGTCCAACAAAGATTTTGGCCTCCAAAATCCACAGTTGTGCAGTCCCACCACATAACTTATCTTCTTTGCAACAGGAGGGAGAAGACGGCTGTGAAGTTGACCGTGACAGTAGGAATTGGCAAGCAGGCTCTTAAAAAGACAGACACTTTGGAAAGGTTTCATTTTGCTTCTTACTTTTCCACCACCTGAAATTAAAAGTAAACAGTACATGGATTGCTGTTATTATCTAGAAAAAGAGAGCACTCTGTTAAAAAAAAAACAAACCAAACAAACACAAGAACTGTGTCAGGCCCAAATCCTGTTCTTGATTACACCAACACAAATGCATCTGTCATGGACAAAACCAGGACTAAAGTCGCGGTTTAAAAGAGAAACTTTCATCAGCACCATTATACTGACTGAGGGTTGGAAAAGGTCCCTTCCCTCACTTCTTCAGTTTATTTATGTTGTGGAAAAGCTACTGTAGATGTGGCTTTACAGACAACAGCTTCATTTTGCCATACATCTCATTGAAAAAATCTAACCATTTCATGCCTTACCAGAGAAAGAAAAATGTTGCTCAGAGAAGACAAATCTATACTAGAGGTGCAGAATTATATACAGAGAATGTATGAAATGTGCAGAACTAATATGCAAAATTACACCCACTACCGTAACAAGATATAATTTTGGAAGGAGGCTATAAGTAACATTGAGCTGACCTTGCAGCAGACCAGTCAATGGGACTACAATACACGTGCAAGAAATTACTCACCTATGTATGTGCTGTGTAAGACATAGGTGCCGTGCTTTATGTCCGTGTACTCCTTCCCATGACAGATTTACATACCAGTGTTATAAACATTTTCTATCCGAAAAGGGAGTAAGAAGCTCGTACTCTGAAATACAACTCCTCTATTTTTGTGAGACACTTGGCCTACAGTTTTTCAGGACAAAGGCTCCCCTTAGCATCGCTGTTGCTTAAGGAAAGATCCTTTCCTCTTCATTTTATATCATCAACATTGCAAACTATGCTATGAATTCTTACTGTACTCTAAAAATTTATATTGGAGTGCAAGGGACTACCAAGAGGACTGAAAAGTGAAATAATTTGTGTTCTAGGACTACTCACACAGAAAAGGTTTAACAAATAAAGAAGCGCTCCTTAGTATCTCTGCCAGTGTCACAAGCCCATCTACTGATTTTTACAAAAAAAGTGGATTCAGAGAAAATGAGAGCATGAAACTTTTGCAACAGGATCTCCTTGAAACATACACTTCAGTTTTTTGACACAATTACTTTTTACTCATCAGTGACAATACCTTCTGTGCAACTTCAGGCATTTTACTAAGAAATTACTATGACATTCTAACTACTCAACTCACCCATTATCCTCACCTATTTACTTTCATCAATTTGCCCACAATGACAAAAGAGCAATATGCAGTAAAACCAGGTCTGGTTTACTACCTACAGAAGATGTGAAGGACCTTTATTGTACTTTTGCACCTTCCCCAGATTCCCCAGCCAGCAGGTGCTGTCGAATCCTCAGCAGCAACTTCAGGACTGCTGTGATTTACAGAAAGTCACCGATACCCCTCATGGATTCTTCTAGCGACTAAACCTGGCTGTAGCAGAGGGATCATGTTCCCTTCACCAGCAACACAGCAAAAGGCACAAATCAGGCTCATGATCTACAACCCTGGACTCGGTTGCTCAGGGGCACACCTAGACTCAATTCCTAAAGACCTAATTCTGCTGATGGTACTGGAGTTGCTCCAGGCCCACATGGTCCATCACAGAATCATACAATGGTTTGGGTTGGAAAGGACCTTGAAGATCATCTAGTCAAACACCCCTGACATAGGCAGGGACACCTTCCACTAGACCAGGTTGCTCAAAGCCCCATCCAACCCCGCCTTGAACACTTTGAGAGGTGTGGGTTTGGTCAAGTGCTAACCATTATTAACTCATTTTTAAAATGGTCATGATATATTTTAATTAATTATATTAATCATAACCATCTAAAACATTTTTTACTGGTATAGTTAAGAAGCGATGTACTCAAATAATAACAAATTTGTACTATATTTCTGCCCGAGCTCTAAAAAATAAAATTCTTGCCTTTAAATGCTTAAAAAACGAAGTAATAGCATGACAAGGAAATCAGAAATTTCAAAATAACTTTGCTATGCTAAATAAAAAGGATATCTCCTTTTCAGAGAGACGCTGCCACATTACATTTGTGCAGAAATAAGCATACATACAACTTTTACAGAGCTATGAGCAGCAGATGACCTATTAACTGCTTTTCAAACCAGATTTTAATAAATTTTTGTGACAAAATTACCTCGTGCACATCACAAATCAAAACAAGTGAAAGTGACAACCATAATTGTCTTATTACCATATAACTTAGTTATGTCACTTATATAACAAAAAAAAATATATTTCCAGACAAGAAAGTTGTCACTGTTGTGTCCGTTTTAAGAGGTTTTAAAAATAATTTCTAACAATCAAAGGTGCTATTAACCCCATGCAAATTAATTCAGACACGTAAGAATATGTAGGTACGTGGAAGGAGCACGTATTTCAAAGCACGCTGTAAGAGGAACAGTTCAAGGCTGTGCCTCCGAGGCCACTTTTCGTACACCTCTGCCTCCCACCGCAGCTACCCTGAGCAAAACCCCCGAAAGCTGTGCAGAGAGTCCCCCCTGGCAGCCCTCCCCCATTGCAGGGGTTACGGGTGGATGGAAGGAGCACGTATTTCAAAGCACGCTGTAAGAGGAACAGTTCAAGGCTGTGCCTCCGAGGCCACTTTTCGTACACCTCTGCCTCCCACCGCAGCTACCCTGAGCAAAACCCCCGAAAGCTGTGCAGAGAGTCCCCCCTGGCAGCCCTCCCCCATTGCAGGGGTTACGGGTGGACGGGGATGGCGGGAGCAGGCGAAGGTCATGCAGTGGCAGTGGAGTGCGGGGCATGGAGGGCTCCACTCCCCAGCACCCACCGAGAAGCTCTGGCACTCACCGGCCGCACACATCCGCCACAGACGGAG